CCCTAAACCCTAAAGCCCGAACCTGGTCACGATGCTGCGAACAAGGTTAGCATCGTTGTCCTTCAGCACCTCGCGGACTCACGCTCCCGGCTCTGGTTTTGGGTCCAAGGCTTAGGGTTTACCCAAGGGTCCATGTAGCTATATGGTATGTAGAATACAGGGATGCATAGGGATTATATAGGGGTTATATAGGGATTATATGGTATATACTTGGGCCTTAAAGTAGATATATGGGAACCCTTTTGGGCCCTAAGTATATACCGTATATACCTATAAGCTCCCGCGGATATAGTGCGCTTTCCGAGGGAGAGTTTGGGTTTCAGGGGTTTACTTTAGGATCCCATATTGAGGTTCCAAGAGCTTCAGGTGTAGGTACTGTATTACGTCTCAGGTCGAAACCCTGGGCCTTGATACGGATCCTTACTCCTGAGACCCCCTGTCTCCCCACATACACCGCATGAAGATGCTGTTCTAAATTCTAGTGTTTCCTTGCGTCCACCCTTGCGCCATAGTGCGTTGGCACTTAAACGCGTTTCGACAAAGCGTGTCCATACGGGCATAATCAACATGTATGCGGAGCTATTAGTTCTTGCGCTTGCCCTTGCGCGGGCTTGCGTGCGGCCCTGCAAAACCCTGATGCTGCCGGTAGTCATGCTACAATAGGCCAGGGTTAAGAACGCCATCCATGTAAATCTATATTGTTATGCACCCTCTGAGGCCCCGGGAAATGTGGTTTCGCAGACCAAGTAAACCTTTGCAGAAGAGCCTAAACCTTAAACGCCTTAAACCCTAAACCCTGAACTCTAAACCCTGAACCAGAAGCCGTGACCGCATGGATCTCTACGTTGTAAAAACTCGACCATGCACTTCTGTTTAGCAGAAAAGTGCAGACGCATGAAGGGTACTGAAGATTCTGTCTTACCAGTCCTAGGTAGTGGTCCTAGAAATACATCCCTTATGACACTCCTATACCACCCCCCCAATAGCTTCCCCGTCCTTTTCACAAGCCTTTTCAAAACACGACAGGCGCCTAGGGAGTCGAAAGCCCAATCCTTGCATGCAGAACCCTAAGGGTCCATGTACCCAATAATTGGGTACTTAGGGCTTTAGTAATAGTAATTATAGTACAGGTTTTGGGTAAGTATATGACTATTAGGTACTTGGACCCTTAGGGGAACATACGCACTCTTCAAGCCCGCCAAAGTCGGCCCAATATATACTTTTTCAAGATCTCACAGCACCATGCTGATTGTTTAATCATCTACAGTGAACCTTGAACAAAAAGGCCCTGAATCTCAAACCTCCAATTCCCTAACCCTAAACCCCTTATCAATAAAACAAACATGTTAACCCCTACAACCCACCCGCTCGGGAATGATCCGGAAGCAGTTGGTGAGCAGTGGATTTCCGGTCTTCTTCCGATACCTCAAGATGGCTCCAAATGGGTTCGGTCAGAGAGGGCACAAAGCGCGATACATATATATATATATATGTAATACTTACAGTGTTTTTAGGGGGTCAGTGGATCATGGGGTGAGGGTGTGTCCATATATATATATATACATATATGGCCCATTGGAGACATAGGGATTCGTCTCTTGGCCTAGTGTTTGGGGAGGCAACAGGAATGTATACTGTTACATACATACACCCTAAACCCCTAAATGCCTAAACCCAAAGCTCTGACCTCTGTGTATTCTTACAGCCGCTTCCGAGATCAGGGATTTGGTTTTCTGGTGTCAGAGGGACAGTCCAGGGACAATCAGGAACCATTCACATGAGCCATGTTCTAAACTCCTCAAGGGCGGGAGATATAGGGGATTATATAGGGGACTGCTATAAGGGATTTTTGAGAAGGATGCTAGGAGTTAAGACTATGGCCCACATTCCAACATCTTCGAGACAGTCCACCCCACCCTGTTCTTTCAGAAAACCTAGACTCTAGATCTGCTTCAACTGACTGGTGCTCAGGGGAAAGTGGGAGAGTGAATATAGCGACTATTTTAGGGTTTAGGGCTTGTAGGGCTTAGGGCGGGAGAGTGAATACAGGGACGATTATAAAGGTATATGTGGGATTATATAAGGGAGTATTATAGGGATACACTCCCCCACTCTCCCTTGAGCACCAAAAAAAGTCAAGGCGTTTAAGCATGATGTCGGTGCATCTCCGAACTCAGAGTGCAGTTGCTATTGCTACGTTTAGGGTTTAGGGTTTAAGGTTTAAATAGGGTTTAGCCAATTCCTTTTACCCTTACGAACAGTACTTGGACCCCCAAAGTATGTAGATAATGGCCTGTTGGGCTATATTGTTCGTGCCATTAGTTTACCTACTTTGAGGGGGGGGAGGGGATTAGGTACTTACCATTAGTCTGACTATTGCTGGCGGTAGAGAGGTCTTCTATAGGATCTGGTTAAAACGTTTTTTGTCCGTTAATTGTCCAATGTAGCTCAGTCTGGGGGCATGTGGGCAGAAGCACAAGCTTGACAAAGTTCAAAAGTCCACGTTTGTGGATTTCGGTAACGACGATTCCTATCTACTCCCACGCACGACACTATCTGGACCTTACAGATCCCACAATCCTTGGCACATGCAATAAAGAAGCAGGAGGACATAAACATTAAAAGGATCGTTTCGTAGGGTCCAGATAAGCCCTGAACCCTGCTTGGCAGGAATGTGGGACATGCCAATTGGATGAGATCCCTGCCCCTGTCCCTTCTCGCAAACAGTCTCCTCTCAAGAAGTTCCACGAGACTCAATACAAGAGGCAGTCGGCAGGTTCTGGGGTGTGTGCCGATGTGAGCAAAACAGTATGGGGCTCAATCTTAACTTGGGGAGAGTAAGCTCTTACGCACAAACTCTGAATTCACTCTTTTTAGAGGGAGTGCTCAAAACAGGGCAAAGGTCTCGGTCTTCCTGCTGACCCAAACCTCTAAACCCTGGACCCCTCAAACCTGAACCTAAACCCTCAACCCCAAACCCTTAATCCCTAAACCCCAAACCCACACCCTTGATCGTACACCCTACTTTACATTGCTGGGGCCCTAGCGCCGCGATTGCCTTTTCCATGAGACCCCCATGCTCGAATGCTTTCGCTGGATTCTTCCTGAGGCTTTCGTGTTTAGGCCATAGGGTTGAGGGTTCTCAGGCTTGGGTTTTTAAAGCAACTCTTCACACCTTTTCTGTGCCAGCTCAACGCTAGGGTGGTTTACGAAAACAGGAGCCCCCTCAGTACATGAAGCACAGGATGAGTTGAATCACTTTGGGGTTTGGGGTTTAGGATTTTGGGCTCTTAGGCTTTGGGGTTTTGGCTTCACGGCTTGGGCTTTAGGGCTTGGGACAGCTTAGGCACTTCACCTGAGCTATAACCTAAACTTGTAGTAACCCCCTTAATAACCCTACAATGTTCCCCTGTATAAAGCCCCAATATATCCCCGTTTGAGGAGTTGAAAGTATATAGCTCACCTAATGATCTCAGAGCCATGAAGGTTCTCAACTTGCCCTGTAAAAGCTGGGGGCCTAAACCCTAGAAATTCATAAGCGCCCCGAGGTCTCAGAAACGCGGTTTAGGGTTTAGGGTTTAGGGTTTAGGGAGAAACCTCTGTATACCAGGACCTTCCTTGTACCCTTAATTGGGGATATATGGTCCCTAATAGTAGGTACTTAGGCCCTAATAGAGGGTAGGAGGAGGGTCTAGGTACCCTGGGTAGAGTTTAGGGTTTAGGGTTTGGGGTTTTGGGTTCAAGCTTATACCCTCGAGGTCCCCTTCACCCCGCCAAGTCTCCAGAACTGGTCCTTCATCAAAGGCACCTGGAAAACTTCTGAGATTCTTCGGTCTGGAGTGAGGGTTTAGAGTCGAACGTTTAGGGTTCAGGGTTTAGGTTTCAAGGTTAGGGTTTAAGGG